GCTGTGCTCCCTGGGCCTCAACTGCGTCAGAGCAGAGATGGGCGTTCACAATAAGTGGGCTGCCGGGCACTATTTGCTCTGCAGTCCCCTCCTCTCCTGGTGCCAGCGGTGACGGTGAGTGGATGGCAGGTTGCAGAGCTGGCAACTTCTCTCTCCCACACTGGGCCTCATGCTCATGGCATTAACGGTTGGCACCCTCAGCAGATGGAATTCCCTGACTCAGTGGTCCCTTGCTAGGCCCTTGGTCATGTCTCCCCGCAAGGGTCAGGTTACCTTGCTGGGCTCTCTGTGGTGTCTCTGGAGGCTCCAGATAGCCCCTTAGCTACCAAGGCCGAGCGCCGACATCCTTTCTGTTCCAGCAACCCTCTCTGGCCACCACAGCAGCGTCTGAGGAATGAGACCCAGTCAGGGAGGGAAGCGCACAATTCCCCCCTCCACCCCCCCACCCGTCGTGAAGACTGACAGTGTGCTCAGTGTGCGGGCTGCGGGAGCAAGTGTGGCGGTTAGGCACTGATGGGAGAAAGGCATCTTCAGACACTGCTGTTTTGCCAATTCTAATGAGTCAACTTTGTGTTTTCATAATGAAAGCACTACTCACAAGCAACCTGAGAACCCTAGTGGAGGGGACAGTCCGAGGCCGCGCGGGCTCCAGACCCCACTGAGGGCATTCAGACAGCCAGGTGCTCCCCGCAGCGCGAGCAGCGGCCCTGCGGTCTGGCCGCCTAAGAGGCCGTGATCACAAAGGGTGATCTCAGGGCCCCATGACCAGCGCTGAGGCTCACATGGTGTGTGGGCACAGTGCAGTCCTTTGTGGGCGGGGACCGAGCTGCTGGGGCTGGCCCTCTCTTTGCCGCCCAGGGCCGCGCCTTTCACGCTGAGTCAGGGGGGTCAGCTGGGCCCGCGTCTGGTTCTGCGCCTCTGAGAGTGCGCGCGGTTCTCCACCACTCGCCAAGGCGAGGCCACAGTCCAACCTCGTCCTTGCCACAGGCAGCTCCCTGCTCCCTCGGTCCTGAGTCGCGGTGTAGGGGTGTGCAGGTCATGTTCTCTCGCTTAGGACTGTCCCAGAGATGCGACCCATGAACTGGGATGGTGAGTAAGCCAATGGCCTCAACAGCAGGCACGGGAGGCTCAAGGTGCTGTTTCCCAGGTGTCACAGGGCCGCCCTAGTGGTGGTGGGTCCAGGTGAACTGACTGCACTCGAAGCCCTTTTCTGGAACCCCAACTGCAGCCTCACCTGCATGCACCTGGAGTACCCCCCAACCCCCAGAGTGAAACCGTTCTCTCTGGAAGGGGACATGTCGTTTCCGGGCCTCACAGCCTGTAGTGTGCCTGGGGAAGTGCTATGAAACCAATGGAGCCCCCACACAACAGAGCACGACGTCGATGTCGGGGCGGGAAAGTTCCAGGATCAGCGTAGTCGCCTAGAGCAGATCGCGTTCTGGCGCCACATGACCTATGCTTAGGCCCCTGGGGTGAGACCTGTATCTTTCCTCCATAGACGGCTTTTGTGAGATTTTACATCCCGGCGCCTCCCTCGCCGCCTGCCATCTGGTGCACTCCTTCCAGCTGCGAGCCTGGGGCCACCCTCTGTGCGCGTCACCTCCCAGGCCGCTGTGGCCCCTCCGTGTCTTCCGGAGAGCAGCGCTGTGTGTGGGTGTGCCGTGCCTGCCGATGTGTGTGCCTGAGGGCAAGTCAGTTTGGGCCAGTTGTGTGAACCTGCAAGAGGATCATTTACAGGAGCAGCGGTGACACAGAGCAGTGGGCCCCTCACTGTCTGGTGTAGCCTGGGTTTGAGAGAGGAGCACGCCGGAGGCTGCGTGGTCACGAAGCAACAAGGGGCT